TACATTCTGCACAGGCTGAACTTACTAGAGAAGGGTCCTTGAAAGCAGAAGTAATGATGATATTGCAGAAATAGTCCATTAAACAGTGGTATAGCCATACAATTATTCTTCAAGCAACATTCCCATCAAGGTAAAAGAACTGAATGTGTACTTTGCTTTTAGTTTTCCAACAGAAAGAGAAGCTAGAAAAAAACACATTCACTTACCACTCTAGTCAACAATTTAGTATGCTGATTTTTTTAATCAAAGTTTATATGCATTGGCCAAAATATAAGTATCTACTTTGCTGTGGTTTCTGGTGTTCACATGCAAGACAGGGCATGCATTTTAGCATGTGTAAATATTTACAAACACATAGCTGTGTGTTCAGGCAGACTTTGATTTTCCCATTTCCATCAGCATTTGGAAAAATACTGTTTGAAAGATTTGATTTTTAGTGACTATTACATGAGGCGGCATCCATGATGTGCTTGTCCTCGAGGCTCCTCCTGGAAGGTGTTGCTGTGCATTGGTCGCTTGTGTCCGGCTGTAAGAAGCTTGGAGCGGATCATTGCTGTAATCCCAAAGCAAAAACTGAACACAGTGTATTTTCAGATGTGTAATCCATGGGTTGTCTGACAAAAAAAGTCAGTGGTTCAGTAGTATTGGGAGTTGTGTCTGTTTTGACAACCAGCAGCTCCTGGCTGTGCTAGTGGCCTTCCCTCATGGGCATGGCTCACCATCTGCCCCCTCTGTGCAGCCTTCTCCTTCCTCTACCCCTCATGGTTTTTGCGTGTTATGAGGGATTGCATTTCAATCCCCAGTATTTTTTTAAAGGGTATGGGTTATCTGAGGTGCAGGCTCCTGATAGCTGTAGCCCAGGGGATGGCCCAAGCCAAGCTGGCTGTGAAAGTGCTCCTCTTATGGAGATATTTTCACCTGTGCGTCAAAGACTGATCAGTCATGGGGGCAGCAGGAGAGCCTGGGTTATTGCAGGGCATTTCACCTGAGGAAATTTGTGCAAGGCACGGACACGTGTGGAAGGGCCTCCTGGCTGCACCAGTGAGCAGATACTTGAGAAGTGCAAAGTGCCCATGCTTGATCCCTTGTTCTGTTTTTCCATATTTCACCAGCATCAATTTGATAATTGATTACTCCATCCTCAGTTAATGAGGGTTTGTACCAGTGTATGTGAGAGCAGTTCTGGGCCTGGCCCAGTCTGGATTTTTTCTTCCCTTTGCTATTGGATCAGGCTCTTGCAGTGTGACTGGGCTCAGCCTAGGGGCACACCATAAATAGCAGGCTTGACTGCTGCTTTTTATTTATCCATATTGAGTTCATCAGATGAAGCCAAAGCTTCCTGGGGCCATCTGAAGCTTCCTGGAGGGGGTACTCTCACAGTCAGATGTGGCTCCTGGAAGGCAGACGTGTGTCTCTGGGAGGCAGACACATGCCTCAGACTTGGACCACTCCTTTTGGACTTTGTGGTTGTGAGAGCATTTTTTCACAATATATTTCCTTGGGGGAATCTGATGGACTTAGATCTCGGATACCATCCCCACTAAGTGATACAGTAAAAATAACCTATTATTCTCTGGTTCTGACCTGGGCGGTGACAACATATTGTTTCAGCATCTCTGTCAGACTATTTCCCTTAAGAGCCATTTTAGCCTCACCCAGTGGGACACAGCTAAAGGAAATGAAACTCCAACCCCATTAAGGAAAAAGACAATGCCTTTCACTAAACAAACTTACTTTTCTTGGCTTTTCTTCACCAGGGAGAATCGCCCGTACCCCCCACCCTTGCAGCCTTTGTAGACAGTTCCTGTAATTGGGAATGGCTGGGTGGACACCAATGGTTGGCAGCAAAGGGGGATAAATCCAACATCCCTTGAACGTGACATGGGCTGGGACCACAGTCCCAGGTGGCCACTTAGTGACAGTTCCTGTGGTACTGGTGGACAGTACGTGCCTGCCAGCCACAGCTGCGGTCTTCCAGACACAATTGGGATTTTGGCAAGTCTGTACACAGTGAAGCCGGGCTGTTACTAATTTTGTGCAAGCCTTGGATAGGTAGTGTGCCCCTATTCACTATTGAGAGCTGGTGACTGGCACCAAAGTTTTGGTGGCTCATCTCCTGCCACCCATACAGTGAAATGACCCCAAAAGCAAGCATGACCTTGAGGGTTCATGGACTAAGGGAGAGATCACGATCTGTCACCACACACCAGCTGAGTCTGAAGCATAATTTACACTTACTAATTAGGTTTTCAAGCACATTAATTTGGGGTATCTTGACACAAATTAGAAATCCCTTTTTATAATGTAGTTCCACTCACTTACAAAGAAAGAGTTTGCAAAGGCATCACTTCACATTTTGTGTGCTGCTAACTGGGACAAACCATAGGGTGAACACTTTGTCCCAGGGAGAGCCAGGGTTTACAGAATGCAATCAACTGGTCAGCCTTCCAAACTCAGGGTAGAACTGACTAACACCTGGGTCAAAGTAAATCCACAGGCAAGAGGATTAGAGCTGGCAGGAAAATAAAGAACCCTGTGTCACAAGATAAAAGTAGATTGCAAAAAATTGCAATCCTGAAGAGTTTTTAATCTTAGAGGTGGCTAATGCTGAAGGTCTCCTTAGGTTTTTTTACATAAGGGGAGCCTGTGTTCCCAATGGTCTGTTTCAGGGTATTTCCAGTATCAGTCTCCACAGGGAGCAGTTAAGCTCCTATTTCAAACCTAATCCTGCTGGGATCTATAAATCTATATCTCTGTGCCCTCTTAAGCAGGTTTATGGCTGTCCCGCTGGTTCACCAAAAAACTGTGTGAAAAAAAGAGCATACCCTGAACACTAGGTGTGAGCCTCTCTCTTCTGCACACTTTCCCCCTCTGTTGATGAGTGTTTCAATAACCCCCGTGAAGAACAACTTCCATGAGACGATCCAAATGCCCTCCATTCCTCAGCCCAGAATAGCCTGTTGCCTGATGGTTGTGACATGCTCCACTAAGATGAAAGATAGGGATTCAAGGAGCACAAATAGAAAAACAAACAAAAATGAGCTTTCTCCATACCTGGTAGCTGTTGCAGAGAGAGCAGGACGTCATCCACCTCTTTGAAGAAAATCAGTTATTACCACTTTTTTTTTCTCTCTCAAAAGAGGACTTCAGAAGTTTATGCAGGATGGTGCCTGTTTGGGGTTTGGTGTGAGATGGAGGTTTCTCAGGGAGGTTAAGGCTGCTGTGAATCCCTTTTAGAGGCACCTCCATTAATCTTCATTCATGATACCCAACTCAGGTTAGCTACTGTGAATTAAGCCCAAAAGCAACTAAGTGCCTAAAGACTGTTGCAGAGCCAGCCCTACCATTTTTATTCCATTACTGCTTTATCTCATACCATGTCTCTAACAGTGACCAACAGGAGCTATTTTGGTGGGATATGCCCTGCCTTCATCCCCGTGCAGTGGTGTGATGGTCCATCACACTGTGATTCACTTTTTCCTTCTGTGAGCTCTCTCTGCTGTTGGTCACGAGGTATTGCAGTGCTCATGTCACCAGTGGCCTGGTTTAAAAACCAATAGAAAGTCATAATGATTAACGTAGTGGAGATTAAAGTCCCTCTTTAGATCATGGCCTGATAGGCAGGCGCTGTCACAGTGCGTGCTTTGGAAGGCCACCAGTGAGGTGAGCGTGGAGCTGCTGTGGTTTGTGGCTGTGTTAGCCCTCTGAAACGTTCCGTGGTGAATGGAAAGCATTGCAGGTACAGTGATGCATATCTATCTCAGAATCATGTGCAGATTAAAAACTTCCTGCAGAGCTAATGTCAGCTCAGTCCTCGGGTCACTGCCACGAGCTCAGTCAGGTTAGAGATCAAAACCAGTGTGCAGGTACGGGGGAGGCTGGCAGCTATCAAACAGCATAATCTGCAGCATGATTTTTTTATGACTATACTCATAATGGCATGTATAAGCAGCGAGTGGTTATGATCTGGAACAAACTTGCTTGTTTGCTTGGTTCTGGTGAAAATTTCAGTATCAACACACTATGCAATAATAACTGGTCAGAGCCAGCTGAAGTCACTTGAGTTATGTGGGGAATTAATTGGCCACATATGCCTGACATCTCAGTTAACATAAAAGCTGTGAGTTGAAATCTTGGTTAAAAAGACACTTGTTAGAATAATTCTTTCTGTTATTATTTTTGAATGTCTATGATTTTGAGAAAAAATTATAGATATAAATTATTAAACCAGCTATGATTTAATATGACTCATGCCACTGACTTTTTAATTAACTAAGGAGCCATCATTCTCAGCAAACTGTTCCATTGCATAGGTGTGCATTTCACAATAATTGAATATAAAGGCTTATTTCTGTCCCTTTATTGATGTCAAGGGAAAACAGTGCAGTTATGAAAATGGAATAAACTGAAAAGATTCCTTCAGTTCCTGCAGGCTGATTAGAACAAATGACTTTCCATTGCAGTTTTTATGAATGTATAGTTTTCTGAAAGGTTTATAGTACTTGAGGGAATGGAAATTGCAGGCAGTAAATAACACAGGATAGCCCAAATTATTGGGAAATAGAAGAATGGGTTTTTATCTGGAAAGGTGAGATTTACCATTCTGTATTTCACATGAATGTTTTAGAAGGAGCCAGATGCAGTGATTTGTGCTTTATTTTGGGCATGGAAGCAGCGTTCGACGCTTGCCCAGGAGCGCCACGTGCGGGAGGCGGCACGGGGAGCGCTGCTGGGGCAGCAGGTCAGCAGCGAGCAGTGCCAGCGCTTCGCGGCGCTCTGCACCGCTCTGCCTGCACAGAGGTGACCACACAGGCAGGGGGACTTTGCCTCTCCTGGTCAGTGAAGTCATCAGGAGCATTTTCCTATCTCAGCTTAATAAACAACACTGTTTTGTATAGAACGAGTTTGGCTAAACAGTTCTGGCAGTGTTAAGAGAGCTCAACTGGAAAAGACCGCTTAATAAACCCCTCTTGTTTTTCTTTTGTTCTTTTTCTGTGTAGAAAGCAGAAATATGGCAACAAAGGAAAAGCTTCAGTGCTTGAAAGATTTCCACAAGGACATCCTCAAACCTTCCCCCGGCAAGAGCCCGGGGACACGGCCTGAGGATGAGGCTGAGGGGAAGCCCCCGCAGCGGGAGAAGTGGGCGAGCAAGATCGACTTCCTGCTGTCCGTGGCGGGGGGATTCATCGGTTTGGGCAACGTCTGGCGGTTCCCGTATCTCTGCTACAAAAACGGCGGAGGTGAGTTCCCATCCACGCCCAGCAGTCCCTCTCTGTGCCCCATGCTCTCTGTTCTCCAGTGCCTTCATCCAGTTTTTAAGAAGACTGTTCATACCCGTGTTTTCTGCCTCCCTCACCAGTCGTCAGGAGAGATTGTTTCATCACTGAATAGTTTTTAGTATAAGTTGATTGAATCACTCAGTCTGCCCCATGCTCACTGTTTTTCAGTGCCTTCTTCCAGTTTTTAAGAAGACTGTTCATACCTGTGTTTTCTGCCTCCCTCACAGTCTTCAAGAGAGATTGTTTCATCACTGAATAGTTTTTTTGTAAAATTTTATTCGGGAAAAAAAAATCCAGCAATTTCTAATGTTGTACTATTGAACCTTTCCTGCTCTTTTACTTCTGCTACAACTGAGTTTTAACTAGAAGACATGCTATTAATATAGACCATTAGGATTTCAGACCAGGGGTTTTCAGAGTAAGAGCAGTCTGAGCCATATGAAAGTATTATGTGCCTAACAATCTGCCATTGTTATTGGAGATATTCACTTTAAAGAGGTAAGAATATGTCCTTTCCAGCCTATATTCATCCTTTTTTGCAGAAAAAATGAGCAAAAACACCCCAGAATAAAGTTATTGTATAGTGATATTAAAGTATCGAATATCTTTCTTTGTTTATATGTGCCTGTTGCCACTTTTTTGATGATCTTGTGTAAGTTCTATTCTTTAATCTCATTATGTACTATTGTATTTTCTCAACAGGTGCATTTCTTATACCTTATTTCATTTTCCTGTTTGGGGGAGGTCTTCCCGTGTTTTTCCTGGAGGTGGTGCTAGGACAGTATACCTCCGAAGGTGGAATTACATGCTGGGAAAAGATCTGCCCTATTTTCACTGGTTAGTACATCTTGTTGTGCTTTACTGCCTAAAGACCCCTCTGTAAGCCATATGTAGCAGCACCATTCCCCTCATGCCCATTAACTCAGCTATTTGCTCTAGTAATTAAGGGTATGATATTGGTTCCTGGAAAGGTGGAAGTCAGAGAGTCTGAAGGACAAAGTGAGATATTGATTTTGATGCTATCAGCTTGTTAACTGGCAAAACTGCCAATAACCAAGAAAGAAAATGCATATTATGCCTTTTAAGGCAATTGCACATTTTGTTTACAGGTAGCAGAGAAACTGTTGTCTTGGAAGGCTAGATGGCATTAATGAAACCATCTTTGAAATGTTATTTTAGTCTGAAAATTAAAATCCATCTTCCATGTGAAAGTTTATCATTGGCATCATCTGTCTGCTACTGATGCAGTGCAAACCTGGACAGCATTTTTTGGTGGGATTCAGGAACAGGGCTTTTGTCATAACTGAGCAGGTCCTGGCAAATGTTGGTCTGATTTCATCAAAGGGCCTTTGCCTGCTCAATGCTCACAGGAACAGTGTGAAGGCTGCTCTGGAAGTTAACTAGAAGGAAAAATGAAAGGTTAGAAAAATGAGAAATGAAAACAGAGAATGCCTGTCTTATGTGTAGATTGCCCTTTACAACTGGACAGCACAGGCAGAATCATTTGAAATAACAACACTAAACCTGTGGCCCTGTTCAAATCCCATTTGGAAAGAGTGGGCACTTCACACTGCTGTGTCTCTAGCTCTGCCACTGTTGCTGTTCCAGGCATCTCTCTCCCCTGATGTCACCCCAAGCAGAAGTGGGGGTTTTCTCTGAGGCTCACCCTCCCACCTAGTACTCAAAATGCTGCTGAGGGTGATGTAATTGTGCTGCTTTAGCTTAATTTTCTTCCTCCTCCTCCCACTTTTGTGAAAATTTTTTTTTTCTTTTTGAGGAGGAGGAGGAGGAGGAAAAAGGAATGTTCCTTGTTTAAATAGCAATCTCCCAGGCATCCATAAAGAGAAAGTGCAGCTAATGTGACTAGCTGTATATGCTGAAAGAAATGCAGATGTACAGAATAAATATTACTTGCTCTGCTTGTTTCCATCTGACATGAAAATAATCTCTGGTGATGAAGACTCCTGCTGCAACAAGCTTTTAAACTGTAAAATATGAGGCAGTATATTTTATATATAAAAACCCCAAGTGCTGGAATATCCATCAGAGTGATGTTAAAGGGAGCCTCACAGGTTCTTGTAAGACACAGCTCTAAATTTTTAAGGAAATATTTTTATTTTGCTTGTGGTTCATAACTGGCAAACTGTGCAAGCAGCGATTGATCCAGGTAACCATAAGATCCACAAATACCGTGCTTGCTTTGCACAAGTGAAATTGAGGCGGAAACCACCACTTTCACACTGATTCCTTTTTAACTCATTCAAGAGATGTCTTTTTTTTTTTCCCCCACATAGACTGAGCCCTGCCCGTTGATAACTGAGTGGTGCAGGTGCTGTCCAGCTGAGCTGCTGCCAGGAAAGTTGGCTTGGGGCTCAGTGTGGCAAGAGTGAGGCTGCCCACATAGGTACCTAAGAAGTGAGATGGTGCAGCAAACAAGCAAAGCCTTGACTTCCCTCTACTAAAACTTGAAATAGCTGGGTTAGTGTTAAATTGCGTAAATTCCTGCAGTCCTCCCCTCAGTGTCAGCACACCAGAGCCAGAAACTCCGCCCTGAGTGCCAGAGATGGTGGCAGGTCTGTGTGTATGTGTGGCTGAGCTGAGTTTCCATCAGCAGTGGGGCAGGGCGGGATACAAGCCCGCAGCACAGTGGGAACGGCACCAGCCCCAGGAGATGCAGCAGCTGTCACATCTGCACGTTCTTCTTGTCTCTCCCCTTCTTTCCAGGAATTGGTTATGCTTCCATAGTGATTGTGTCCCTTCTGAATGTGTACTACATCGTGATCCTGGCCTGGGGACTCTACTACCTGTTCCAGTCGTTCCAGAGCGTGCTGCCATGGGCACACTGCCACCAGAAGTGGAACACGCCCACCTGTGTGGAGGACACTCTCAGGAAGAACAAAACGCTCTGGATATCACTGAATGCCACTAACTTCACCTCTCCTGTCACAGAATTTTGGGAGTAAGTACCCCCTCTTCATGGTGCCTTCAGGGAGCTTTCGGTGGCATGCCAGAGGTCAGTCCTGAGATTTTATGGAAGCCCAGTGGGGAGTGTTAGATAGGGAAAGAAAATTGAGCAGGGTGTCACTAGCAAAACCAGTGTTTGCTACTGGTTCTCACCTATCTTGAGGTAAGTCTGGGAGTGGTGGAGGCACGTGATAAATGTGTGAGTGTATTTATCCTACACCATACAGAGAGCTTTAAAAGCCCAGTACAGCTACTTCTTTGAAAGAAAACTTATTTCCTTCTTGGCTGGATTCTCTGAGTGTGTCTGGAGAACACAAACAAGTCACTGCAGATGCCCTGATAGCAGGGATTTACAGTGGAAACAGCGACAAATCATCACCTTTGTGGTTGTCTCTTCCCCAGCTGTTAGCATTTGCTGTACACTTTGTGTAGCTGTAACACATCTCTCTTCAGTCGGATGACAATATAAGGTTTTGACCTCAGTAATAAATCTGACAGAGGTGGTGAACGTTGTCCTGTATTCTAGGTTTCTCAGGTCATCTCTGTTACTACGTTTTTTTCTGCAGAAAAGAACGTTTTTTTCTGAAGAGACTGTTTTGCCAGATGCCTGAATTTCATCAGTCATAAGCTTCTTATTCTCATTTCTCTGTTATTTTTCAAGTTTTAAATCATATTGCATAACGTGATCTCTGAACAGGCATGACCTCAAAACTCTTGTATGTTTATATAAGTGTCAAAACACAGCAGCAGAGGAAGACACCTGTAGGGAAACTTAAATCCAAAGGATCTTCAAATAGTTTATTAATAATTTTTTGCTTGCTTACTCAGATAGATAGTCACTTATGGGTAGAATCAGTTTCTGGCCCAAACTTTTTCAGCATGTTTAAAGTGCAGTTTCATCTCTGATCAACTTGTACCTACTTCTCTATTTTTAAAAATAAGCATCAGCCAAAGCCCCAGCAGGAATCGTGTTCGTGCTGAAGATGTTTTGTCATGCATTAGGTTTAGAAAAACACAGGCTTAGAGCTGAGCTAAAATTTGTAACACGAGAGCCAAAATATGAAGGGGCAGATTGAATCTGGGATTGGTAGTTTGTTAAAAGGCTCTGGTGGCTGGTGTGAGAGGCAGGGTGCAGGCTCTGAGAGCAGCGATTTCACCATGAGCTCTGCGTTTCCATGTTGGGGGGCAGCTGCTTTCCCAGGTGATTTCCTCCCTTATAAATATGGGGGAAGTTGGAAAACAATTGTTAAGTGGTACCTTTGGATATTTTGGGGGAACTGAGAGGCTGCCGGAGAGGGAAGGGGAAGCAGCTCTCACTCCTTTGGACCCTCCCACAATGACTTTGGACTCAAGGCCATGAATCCAAATGAGGTTTCATCATGTGTTCCAAAGTCTTCTCAAGGCCTCCCAAGGAAGCAGAGGTCCACAATCCTGCTCCTGAAATAGTTGCTCCCCCAGATTCCTAAAGCACTGTGTTCATCATTGCTTTTGTGCAGTGGTTTTGCTGACAGTCCTCTTGTACCTGGGGCACCTGTGAGCTTGGTGGCTCCTGATGTGGCCATGGAATTGTCCTGCTGCTCTGGAAACTCCTACTCCTGTACTGCCCAGATTTGTGGGCCAGATTGTCTCCCTGGGGTCCCCAGGCAGCATCTTCACTTCAGGAGACTGAAGATACCACAACAGAAAGGAGAAGGGTTGGGAGCTGGGAATGGGATTGTAAAAGAGTGAGGACTCCAGAATTCTGGGGAGCAGCAGAGCTCTCTGTGGGTCACAGCACAGCAGGTGTTTGATGAAGGGTGTGGTGGCAGGGCAGCCAGGGGTAAGGGGAACGATGTCCCCATGGGAGCACGTTGGTGATGGAGATTTTAGTTGCCTCCCCTGTAAGGGAAGCCAAGTCAGAAGACTCCTCTGCAAGCTGAGCCAAATCCTCCTGTAGATGTAGTCAGGCTGGAGGAGCTGAGGCTGGACAGAAAATGCTTGATCCTCACACACTTTGCTGTCTCAGTTGTGCCCTCACTGTGTCTGTAGCAGAGTTGGAGCAAAGGTTGCTCAGTGATCTGTGCTCCTGGAGTAGCTCTCCCTGCACTTTGTAGCCACTTTAACTTGTGTCCTCAACAGTTTTAGACACTGTAAGCTGAACTCTTCCCTGGAGTCTTGCTAGGGAGGAGTTTGGCTTTGTAATCCTACTGGGACAGACACACTGCCCATAATTCACTGTTTCATCATGGGCAAAACTGCCCTTAACAGAGCAAGCTGCCTCCAGGAGTCGTGACACTTAAAGGACTATTAAAAATAGCTGCTGTCTGTGCATAAATAACTATTGATGTCTTAAATAAGAGCAGAGATCATGCAGCACTGTTGTAATAAAAGTAGCATAGCTTCCACATGGTGCAAGCACTGAATATCCCCATTTTTTTTCCCAGACATGCTAGTATTCTTTACAATTCTGAAATTAAAAACAGTTCTTCAAACTATTCAGGTACCAACTACTTGAGGTACTTCAGGTACCATGCTGCCACAGACAATACTGGCTGCCAGCCAAACAGCTACCAACATTGAAAGGACAGGTAAATAATTAGTCTTTAACTGAAGATATCCATCTTCTTTGTGGCACAATTAATTCCAGTTTAATTCAGAGCTTTGTGAGTATTTGGTTTCTGAAACCTAATGCCATTTTTATTGTGGGGCATTTATATAGTGTCCTCATCAAAGTACTGCTTTGTACAACTAGTGCTGCCCAGGTATAATTGACCACATGGGTGCATTAACCTCTTCATGTAGAACTTCTCAGCCTGGCTGGATATATTGTGCAGCCTGACATTTCAGTTCATTTGAATTAATGTTTGGTGCAAATCACATGCTTGCTTGAGCAGCAATAAAAGGGGGTTAGGAAAATCAGGCTTTATATGAGGAGACTTACCTCTTGGTATCACATGCTTCAGGTCTTATTTCTGAAGATTTTATTTTGAAGTTCAAAACCTTGCAGGCTTACACACATATTAATACATAAGGGATAAGTGTAATAGGGTAATTAGGGTTGAACAAAACCTCTGATTGTCTGGTGCTGGCCAAGTGTTTATAAATATTTGGTAATCAGCAGACTTTATTCGTCCAAATCCCAAGAAAGACCATCACATGCTAATGGCATGTAATCCTAAAGGGAGCAACACAAAAAACTAAACAAAATCTAGAGCAGCTGTCTCTGCCTTGAGGAGCAAATGTGAGAGTCTTTTAAATTGTTTAATATTCTCATTTTAATATTCTTCTGTACAAACTCTTCAGTGTTAATTATTCTTATCCATCCAACATGAAAGGGTGCTTCACCTTTCCTGGTTTGAAAGGTCCTGTCAGCATTCACTTGATTAATGAGCTGGAATATCCCCCAAGGATTGCATAACTCTCTTCATTTTATTTTTGTTTATGTTGTAGAGCCAGTTACAGCTCCTGTTACATTTCCATATTGCACACACTAGAACATATTAGTGTTCAAGGGTCAAGAACTCCTGTTTATAACAAACTCAGCCCCAGCCTGTTGTCCCATTGATTATAAATGAGTGACAGTTAATGACAGCATCAGACTATAAATCTGAATGACTAACAACTCTGTGTGTGATGGTGTGAAGGTAGCTGAGTGGGCTTGGCTGAATCTCAGTAGCTTGGGGGTTATGTAACAAGATTGAAGAGCTATCAGCACAGTCCAGCTCATGCTCCTTCCTGAACTTGAATTTACAGGGTCAAATATGCATGTTGAGTGCTTCTGCAAAAATATGTAGGGCTAGAAGTCATAAAAGAATCGTAATGCTGAATCTCCCCTAGTAATTCTGAGCATATTCCTTGAGGAAGTCAGTCTTTGTGGGATGGGATAAGCAAGAAAAGCATAGAAAAGCAAGATATCTGGCTCTCAGTCACCCACTGGGGTGTCTTCCAGAAAATCCTGAAAGAATTGCTGGGGCAAAGTCTAGGAGAGATGGCCACTTGCTTTTAGTTCTGCTGTAAAAAGCAAAGAAGTCTTAGCTGAATGCATTAATAAAGCTCCCTGTTCCAAAAGGCATTTGCAGTTAATTATTCACTGTTTCCCAAGAGCCAACTCTATAGATTGCCTTTTTAATATGAACTGCCCCTTTGATTGGAAAATTGCCATTTATTTTTTAAAAAGGCATAGAAGGTTGTGGCTGAAGTTTTTCATCTTATAAATGTATTTTCTTCTTTTGTATATGCACAGCAGGATTTTCCTTTGTTTCTTTAGACTCAGGTGAAGCAAGACTGCAACTTTATGCCAAATATTCATTACTGAGGGAGTTCTCATAACTATTGAATAGCTGTGCTGATTAGGGCAGACTTACCCTGTCTGGTGCCATTAGTCCTTTTCCATAACAAAATACACACACGTTCAGAGAGAAGAAAGCTTTTGGTGTGAGAACATGGTCACACAGGTAATCCAAGTGAGCTTGGCAAGCAGAGATGCAGAAACAGATGGGCACGGGCTTGAGTCCTATTAAACTGGTCAATCCAGGGCTTTTTCCAAAAACTAATTGCAGATTTTCCATCAGTGACTTCATTCACTATTATTTCCATGGTAATAGCAAAAAAAAAAAAATCTTTAGTTCAGGGGAAAGGCAAACCACCATGGTCTGTCTTGTACTGGATCCCCATGCAAAGCTGTGCACTCCCCACACATGAGCCTGACCCAGACTGCTCTGGGCTCTGCTCTCCTTGACTCTGGTGAATGAAAGTGCCTGACTTTTACAGCTGCCTGAAAGAAAATTTTAAATAATAATTAATAAAAAATTTGTTAGGCAGCAAGTTCTCTTCTGTAGTCTTGGGGCAAGGCATTTTTTTGGTAATAGAGGTCAAAACTTTTCTTTGACTAAAAAAAACTTGCTGAGTTTACCAGGTTCATTTGCAGAGTTTTAGCTTAGTGAACAGTAAGAAACAGTTTGTTCTTTTACATATTTAACAAATGAAGTGTTGAGGATGACAAGGCCATTGCAGTGTGTGAGGACAGTGAATGTTGCATAAAATCATTTTAAAATTAGTTTAAATTAAGTATGTAATGGTAAGCCATGAGAATTTTGAAAAGTTAGAAGCCTTAATGAATATTTCCCCTCTGGATCACACTCTTTTAATGGTTAGATGTTGCTCCCTTAAAACACAGCTCAGGAATTACTTTTTATTTATTAACCTAAGTGAGGGAATAAAATTTCCCAAGTAATCTGGTGTTAGCTAAATGAGACCCCAGTGTTGGGGATGCTGAGGGCAGGCAGCAGCACATGGGCAGTGTTTGTTTGGGGGGCCCCAAGGGAAGGATAATGGCTCCAGCCTTCACCCTGCAAATCTGCATGGCCTGACATTTCTCTGCACTGTTTTTTCCCTTTCCTCCTCCTGGCAGCCTTGCTAATGAACTGAAAAGGAGCAGAAACATGTGGATATAGGTCATCTGCAAGTGTCCATGATGGAGACATGGGGTGTACTACATGGGGTGAAGGCAGCTTCACTGGGGCAAGCTGTTCTCTGATCTTCAAGAAAGCAAATTCTCTTTTATTTCATATTGGGGTGGTCATAGACTGCTAAAAAGAGCTGAAGGTTTTTAAATGCAGTATATTGAATTAAGGAGCCCCACAGACATAGGGAGATGTAGGTTTGCAAAGCACAGCTTTGGTCACATAAGCCACTGACTTAGCACATGTTTTGAGAGCAGAGATCTGTCTGTGCATCAGCTGCCCTGCACACCATCACGTATTCTTAGCCACCACAACAGAGTCTGCATCAACTGAGCTCCTGCATCTCTCTTTTCGTTTGTCTCCTTTCAAATATTCAGGCGCAATGTGCTGAGCTTGTCCTCGGGGATTGAAGATATTGGTATTATCAAGTGGGATCTAGCACTGTGTCTCCTCCTTGTCTGGGTGATTTGTTTCTTCTGCATTTGGAAAGGAGTCAAATCCACTGGGAAGGTAAGTGCTCTTTTACCCATTCTATAATCATTGCAGATAGAGATGTTAGGAATACTAAGTAATGCTGTTCTGGAAGATATTCACTATTTCCTGGAAAAACTATATTTTTCCATTGAGTAAGAGAATTCAACTGACTTTTGAAGGTCATTATCAATGTCCAGAATTCCTGTGAGTCAAGGTGCCACTACTGGAAGGGCATAAAGAAGCAGACACAAGCACAGATTGAGCCCCACCTTGGCTCTCAGAGGATGAATATCCCACTGGTGTCATGAGTGCAGAAGGTCTCAGGCTTGTGATGGATCTGCACTGTGAGTCTGTGTTCTCACTCCAGTCAAGTTCATCCCAGTGCAGCAGGATGGATGCTAACAGAGATGTGGTAGGGGTGTTGTGGAGGCGCAGCAGTTTTGAAATGCCACTTGCTTACAGAAGAGCTCTGTGGGGTCACAAGGCTAAACTTAGGTACTCCTTCAGGAGCATTGTCACTAACAAAGATCCTACGTAGTTTGTGGGTTTGGTCCAATCACATGCTTTTCAAAATCATGTTTTCTTGTAAAGGACAACAGTTGCATCGCTCCTGAACGTCCTGCTCCATTGCACATCTTGGCCAGGCACTTGTTGTGCAGCATAATACTATTGCCCCTTGCATTCAGTAGTGGTTTTATACCTATTTTCATAAGTTTTTGAAGCCATTGTGTTTGTGTAATTCTTAGCTTTCAAAATTGCTTGAGGCATTGTTCAGATAAGTCTGACAGAGGAGGAAGGATTTCAAAGTACTATGTTCCCCATATTTCTTCTCAACTAGGTGGAAGGAAGTGACCCCATTAGTGCCCCTCCTAAGAAAAAGGCCACAATGTGAACTCATCTTTTATAAGTCCCCAGAAAAGTCAGGGGGAGAAATTCCAAGTCCCTCAGCTGCAGAGAGAGCATCATTTAGCAGTTTTAGCTTGTGGCACACTGCAGCATCAGCCAGGAGACAAAACTTTGTAGGAAGCCTGACCTCATGAGTTCCACTGCTGACTAAACCCCTTGCTTTACTGCAGTTCCTGCCTTGCTTTCTGTGATTTTTATCAATGGGCCTCTCTAAAAAGCTGGTGCCTTGCCCTAGATTCCCTCCACCTTTTCCCCGAGGAGCAGCTTCCGCACCTGCAAAGCATGCATTGACAAAAAATGTTTGTTTCTCTATTCCCTCTGACTGATGTGACTTAGTGAGGAGATTATGCAAGTTTTATGGTAAAGATGGGTGCAATAAATCTCCTGCAGCAGCAGGGTGAGAGTGAACATTTCTGCAGCACCTTTCACAACCCTGGTGTCTGCTCAGGAAAGGCTCTGATAGCACAGAGAGCCATTCCAAGCTCCCCGTGGTGCTATTTCCACTCCCCATGAAGATAAAAGCTTGAAAACAGGTCTGTTAAAATCAGACATCTAAAAACCTGTGTTCTCTGCAAATCCTGCAAAATGGTCTCATGGCTAAGGCAGGGTGGTTGGTAGGAATTCCCTCTAAAGCAGGGTGGTTGGTAGGAATTCCCTCTCTGCTCTCCGCGGCGTCGGAGCTCGTGCGGCTCTGCAGCCAAACACCAACAAAACCATTGGGAAGTCTCCGGGTGGCTCCATTAACTTTGAGGTCAAAGAAAAGTAAACTGCAAACTCTAATGGAGGACTTGAATTATTTGAAAAGTCTAGTTTACTTTAGTAGAGGGTTGTTTATAGCACTTCCCTGCTTTCCAGTGTGTTAATGGCTCTTTGGAGAGCAGGGTGGGGGTGGGGGGAAGCTGTAGTTTTCAAATCTTTTAGTAAAGCTTTGGACAAATAAATGTGAAATCATGATGAAAAATATTAGTTATGCTTAAGCTTCAGATAATGTGCTTGATCTTACAAATTCCTGCAGCATTGTGAGAGAACTTCTACCTGCAGTGCAAAGACTTCTCTGTGGGTTTTTGTTCATTTGGTTCCTGCAAATACATCAGAACTTTTTTTTGGTAGGAAAACTTTGATTTTTTCATAGTCCTGGCTTATTTGAAAAAAAAAAAAAGAAGGTGCAGAAATCCTCCTTTTATCCTGGTTTTGGTGAAACTAGGCTAATGTGCAATACATGTTATTTGTGGAAAATGCACAGAAAACTCAGAGATAATTTAAAAGGGCATGTATGAAAAAAATTTCCTTTCATTCTATGAAATCAACCCCACTCTGTGAATTATGATGGCAATGCAGGGTTTGAGTTCTCCTCTTTATTCTCAGAGGACACACTTATGAAGAAAAATGGAGCATCCTGGGAGCTTTGTAGTAGTTAAGCAAATTCTGGAAAATAAAAATGCATTTTAACTCATGGCAGCAAACTGTAATTACCTGGGGGAATCATCTGACTCCAAGAAAAATGCCCTTTCTTGGACAGTAGTGACTGTAACACAGCTGTTATATAAAAAATGAGAGAAAGCACTGATGAGCAGAGAAAGCAAAATGTTAGAGGTCAAAAAGTGTGGATCTAAAGATAGAACTGTCCAAATGCAAGCTCAATTAACCCTCGTGCTGGAGATGAAAGCAAAGAGCTCTTTCATCAAGTGAATGAGGAGATAACAAGAAGAGAAGAAGTAGGCTGTTATTCAAAGAGAGTGGGAATAGAGGTTAAAGATAATGAAGACATATTTTCAAACTGGATGAATAGAGCCTTAGTTTCCAGTAATGATGTTGCTGAATAGACAGCAAGGGCAAGAATGAAGTTATAGGACTGGAAATTACCACTGTGGAGGCTGATGCCAACCTGAAGGGCTTGATGTGTTCAAGGAGATAGGAAGGGAGACCAGGAGCATGGACAAAATGACCTTCACCTCTGCACAGTTCCTGGGGAGGCTGACTGTAGGAGCAGCAGTGGGGCTGCACAGCAGGGTCAGAGGTAGCAGCAGAACTTGCGAAACAGCTCGCCATTTGTAGGTTCGAAAGTTCCAATAAATAATGAGGTAATAATGTTTCAGGGGCCCTCAGTGAGTAAACCTTTTCACTTCCCTGGCAGAGGTGCACTTGTCACGTGAGGAGGACAAACACAAAGGCAGAATTTGAACAAAAGTCATGAATTGTATAAAATCAGGTCTGAGTGATGTGACCATTGACTGGGCCCTCTGGGGGGATTCATGCAATGTCTTCAGGCCTAAGGCAGTAAAGACCACCAAACTAAAAGTAGACACAGAAACTCAGGTCAGACCCTTTTTAGGTATGAGGGGGCTTTGAATTCCCATTGTTTGACCTCTCTTGGTTCTGGAGCTTTGGCTGCCACAGACTAAACCTTCCTTTTTTTTCTTTTCTTATTTCCAGGTAGTGTACATCACTGCCACATTCCCATTCATCATGCTCCTTGTTCTACTCATCCGTGGCGTGACCCTGCCTGGAGCTGCAGAAGGCATCAAGTTTTATCTGTACCCTGATATCTCACGGTTAGCTGACCCACAGGTACAGAACCAGGAGTGGGGAACGGGATGATTTCCTGTGCAGAGGGGGATGGTGGAGGGTGATGGTGATGTAATGGCAATCAGTTTTTTTTCCACAGTCTTTAGAGGTCCAAATATAGCATGAACTTTAATGCTGGGTTATATTTTCCAGAGCTCTGCTTGAGAAGGTCACTGTTAAATGTGTTAATGCATCTTTCCATGTGTGTGTTTGTGTGTGTATGCATGTGTATTTTTTTTGTGTCAAAGGACTCTGAGGCTGTAGACTCTGTCCCGTTATACAATCTCAGCTTTCTTGTTGGTCAGGTAAGGGAGATGCATTTTTTTAATGAGGATAGTCTTTAGTTTCAAAGGAAAGACACGTGAGCTTCACAGATGGAACCACAAGCAACAACTGTGAGTACCAGTGTCACTTATCTCCCACTGCTCGAGGGAGATAAGAGGACGAGATTGGGAGAGAAGTGAATGAAATTACAGAAGAATGAAAAGCCATGCAAAGGTGGAGAAAATGCTTTCTGAGGCACAGGAACCACTTGCTTAGCCCTGGCTAGTGGGAGCCAGGCTTACTCTTTCTGTATAGATAGAAATTCTGTCTGTGCTCACAGAATGCAAGTATGGGACACTTGAGCAGATCAGCATTGTTTCAGCCAGCAGTGTTCGTGTGAGAAATGAAAAGTACAATATTCCCCCATGAAAAAAAGAAAAGCAAACAAGGGATCTTTGAAAATAGTAAAATGTTTGTCACAGTGATAGGAAATAACATCTGTCTTTGCTACTGCTTTCTAATGAGTATTAGGTTAAAATAAAACTCCAATGGTCACTAAAGGACTGAAGTAGGAAAAGGGTAATTGAAAGAAACATCATGAAAATTTGGTTCTTTGTCTAGTCTTGTCCTCTTTTACAAGACACCCTTTTCACAGGAAACATTATATTTTATGGTTTAATCTTCTTTTATGGGACCCTATCATGTTTATGATCTACTGTTAGCCCTAACCAGAGTGTCAGCAGATAATGTAGGAGAGGTTCATGTGAGCTGGCTGGCTCCCACCCACAGTCTAGCAAAGGCATGTCTCTGAGGAGACAGGAGTCTCCTGAATCTTCTCAGCAAGGTGCTGGAAGTGATGGTAGGAGGGAGGAGGTAATGGTCCTCAGGCTACATTCACACTTCCTCAAACTCCTTGGTGGTTTCCACTGGTGTTAGCAGACTTGAATTTGCAGAAAGAACAGAACAGATGGGATTCAGAGGATGTGTTTTGATAGCTTGCTATGTATTTACTAGCCAAGAAGTTCATAGTATATGGTTATTTCACTCTGTATGTGTTTTTTTTAATGTACTCAGGACAAAGAATCATGAGACCAAGATCAGATATGTATCTTATAAAGTGCATTGTATTTTGTTTGTTTTCCCCCCACCCCTGTGGCTTTTTATCTTGCATTTGAACAGGTACAAAAACAACCAGAAAGCTAGAAAAATAAGCACAACAAATACACAAACCTCAAGCTTTTCACATCCTCAGTTTAAGGACTGTCGGCTGGCTCTAACTGAAATGAGTTACAAGAGAAATGAGCAATGTTATAAATACTTCTGCATTTCCTATTGCACTGAACACGTTTATTGTTGTGCCAACAGGAAGGATCAGCTGAATGACTAAGAAACTAGAAATACTGAGCTTCTCTGGGGAGGGGAAACAGGAACTATTGTAGAGGTTGTGTTCTTCTGGGGTCTGATGCTAACAATTTTCTTTTCCTTGTGAAAGCCAAACTTGCGAATGTGTTGTTCTCTTTCCCTGTCTCCCTGGTCCTTTAGCTCTCACCCTCAATGGAAACAATTATTTAGTAGATTTTGCTTAGTTTGAAAACTGTGTGTTTGTGTTGACTATTGCAATGCAACAATGCTGGTAATAACAGTATTTCTATCTTTCCCTTTAGGTCTGGATAGATGCAGGGACACAAATCTTCTTCTCATATGCAATCTGCTTAGGAGCAATGACTTCCCTGGGGAGCTACAACAAGTACAAATACAACTGCTATAGGCAAGTTTCCATCTAAGGGGGTTTAGTGTTTTAGCTAAATGATGTAAATAAAGTAGGGACAATGGGTTAATTTTTTTTTTAATTAACTTGCTCCATGACATATGTGTGACTTAGGGACTGTTTGCTGCTGGGATGCCTGAACAGTGGTACCAGTTTTGTGTCTGGCTTCGCAATTTTTTCCGTCCTGGGCTTCATGGCACAAGAGCAAGGGGTGAACATTGCTGATGTGGCAGAGTCAGGTACGATGGTGTTGGTGGCAGTGGTGGTGGGCACTGCCGCCCAGCGTGTGAGCAAAGTTCTGCAGACCCAATCAGCTAACATCTAAGTGATAAAACAGAACAAGGTTTCCCATAATTGCCAGAAAAAATGAGCACGTTGTTGATTTGGGCTTTAATCTAGAGCAGTGAGGGTTAGCTGGGGTTGTACTGTTTACTCTGTCTTGATTAACAGGGCAGCAAACACATTTCCTAGATTGTGCTAATCCATTTGAGTTGAGATTAGAGCTAAGATAACTAAACCATTATCCAGAGTCCAGAATGCCATTGATTCAAGAATTTATTCCATCCTTCTTTTCAGACTACCTTTATTTCCATTCAAATTCAAATTGTCCATGTTTATGTATCTTTATAGCTTAGTGTTGCTTGCTCACAGCACTAGAGTAGGATTAGTACATTGGCCTTTTGAAGGGACACACACACATACATTCCCAAATCTCACTGAAAGGCAAGAGAAGTTGGAGAACTCCATCTCCAGGGTTTTGTGGACCATTTCACCTGCAGGAACTCTAGGTGTTGCAATCCTGCATTTGTTCTCTGTAGATTCAGTGTGAGGTTGACAGAACTGTAAAAGGCCATTTTGAAATCTGATGTACACTTAGGTTCCTCCCTTATTCCAGAAGTGTCCTTCCCATTAACATTCACCTATGCACAGGCAGAGGTAGAAGCTCTATCCTCATAGCTTGTGACTGTATCTCAAACAAAACAGATGACATTTTTCCTCTGTGCATTTCTAGTCCATGAGGGCAGGTGTAACCATGTGTTTTCACATAGAACAGACAGATTAGTTGGGAATTACCATGGAAAAATAATGAATCAGGCCTTGACAGCCATGAGGATTAAAGCTAATCAGATTCTAGTAATAACAATGTCACCTGAGTGCACTTTTGATATTTCTTTTTAATTTTTTGAGCACTTTTAATTCACCTGCATACAATTTGAAAGCTTTCCTCTGCAAACATGCTGTTAAAATGAAAAAGTCAATATATCTTCTAATCACATGGCTCTAGGAGTTAAGTCTTTAAGAAAAATGTCTCACTTCACAAGGGCTAATGAAAAACTAATGGCATTGATGGCACCGCTGGATTCTTGGGTGGCTGCAATTGGCATAACTCTTGCAAGTGCAATTAGTAACAATCTTGGCCATAATGCTTATTTGGATTGGAGGTTGATTGCTTTGTTTGGAAACAGGAAGCAAGGGAATAATCCTATTAAATGAATCATAAATAGCCCTATTTTTTTATTTATATGTAGGTGGATCAATTCCAAGAGTACTATTTTTAAGTATTTGTACATTATGTTTTTATCTGGTCAATATTTATTCTAATTTTTATTATTATATCTCTGATAGAGGCAGCTACATTCCTGTCACCTGACATTTCTAGAATTAAACAATTCTATAGTAACACTGCATTGTTAAGTAATCTTTAAACACAAATTAATTCACTTAGTGTTTAAACAGCCTTTTTCCAATACCTCAAAAAGCATTTTTTTAAAAGGAGGAGTTTGATAACTGATTATAGGGACAGCAAGGGCACAGACTAGTTTCTGAACTCGGCTTTTGATTTTTTTGCATATTTTGTTGCCTACTCCTTTATTTAAATCCATGTCACTGATGGCCAGAGATTGCAGCTGGCTCGCCATGCAGTGGGTGCCCATCACTGCTGGTCTTTGGCCAAGTCATTTTTACGTGACAGTAAACACTACTAAAATTATCCAAAAGTATCCAAACCACCTCCCATGTGTTTTCTGGCTGCTTTTCTCAGAGAGATAAGTGCAGAGCTACCGAAGACCCCCTGGGATGAGTGTCCCAGGACCTGTATGGGGCTCTGGGAGAAGTTTTCCTTTCTGCTTCTTCTCAGCGCAGGAGGATTCAGCAGGTGCTTGAGCCTCTGTTTTCTGGCCTTGCCTTTTTTGGTTTCTTTTGGTGCAAGGTCAGAGCTGCTCCCCTGGGTCAGGCCAAAGCAAGCAGAGGTGCTGCCACTTGGCTGCAGCATGTGGCAGAAGATGATGTCCGCAGGGCTGAGTCCCCATCTCTGCCCAGCGAGTTAAATTCCTCCTGCCCTATCCATGACACCATTTGTTTGCCCTCCTGAAAGCCACGGGAACATCAGCAAATTTGCTGACAGCAGAATCTCATGGCCACATTTTTTCCCAGTGCCAGATTCAGTGTAGGTGCCATGTGCCTGGGACACACTTGTCAGCCAGGGCTGGTCACTGCTGGCCTTCACTGGCTTTAGCAGGTTTACTCAACAGTTAACTCAGACTTCTGACTCCTGAGTGAAAGCAGATTTTAAATAAACAGCTTCTTTTTCTTTTCAGAAATTCTTTTAAAAGGTAGAGAGGAAAGCAGTGGGGGCTCAACAAAACCATAGTGAGTCCTGTCTAATCCGTGTGGCTTCTGCTTGGCTGGAAAAAATAGTTTACCACCCATGCAATTTGTAGCACTGTTACACCAGCACAAGATTTGCTTTATTTTCTTTTTTTTTTTTTTTAATTCCATTTGCAAACAAATTCAGATTAAGCTTGTCTGACAATAGTGCCTTGGGTTTCCTGGTGCCTGCCTGGTCTCTGCCTCTGCAGCTCTCCAGCCATGCCACAGCAGCCCATGGCAATCCGCCAGTGCGTGGGCTGGGATCATAGCAGAGCTCACTGCCTTTTAATAGCAGCCACAAGTGCTTCACTTTTGCAAAACACTCTTCAAAACAACAGGGTTTCAAATTAAATACAAATTTTAGATTATTTATATTTCGGTTGAGGGCTTGCCAGGAACATTTTCTTTCACATGGACTTTTTATATTTCAACACTTAGTTTCAAAGAAAAATCAAAATATAGCTCAGGGCTCAGGGCACTTGGTATTAGTTGGTATCACAGTGCAAGAGCAGTTTCACTGGCCAAAGCACGCAAATTGCAGCAAATTTTGAGGAGAGCAGTTTTACATCTGTCTCATCAATTGCACAGATCAGCTGCAAATGCCATCTATTAGCAGCTCTCCCTCAGAGAGGATCTACTGTATCCACTGAATTAAGGAGAAAAAAAGCAAAATTCCCCAAAATTTGAGACATTCACCAATTTTTTGGTATCCTCTGTCGTATAAAATCTTAGTTGTGTTTCATTAAAATAAAATTAGTTGTTTGATTGTTGGCTAATTTGTATTTATTTATGTTCAAATATTTTCAGTGACTAAAAGTTTTCTTTAGTTTGAAAAAAAAAGTCATCTCATTTTACCTCTTTCTCTTGCTTCTTTTTCCATCTTTCTTGTTGGAGAGGAAAAGTAGGAGGTAGGGAGAGCAGTGTTTGAGATTTTTCTGTACAGACCAGAGATAAGATTTTTTTTTGGCCCCACACTGCAGCATCTTAAAAAAATTCCTTTTCCCATTGAAAATTACATGAATCCACTTGAAAACTGGCACTTTGAAGGCTCCTCAAAGTAAACAAGCAGATGAGCCAGGCATTCCTGGTTTCACTCTGGATTGTAATCTGCCCTCAGAATTTTTTGTTAGCTTCACCAAATTTCTTCATCTCCTCTGAGAGCCTGCCATAGATGCAGAATTGCCAGTATTCCTGTCTCCCACTGGTGGAGGACTCTTCCTCTCTCCACAAAAGCTCTCACAAAGGACAGCTGATAGCACCTGGCTGCAGGTGAGGGAGCCTCTGGAGAGGAGCACTGCACCTGTGCTCCATGTGTGGGTACAAATGAGGTGACACCTGGTCACAGGGCAGGCCAGACCCCACCTAGGGAGGAGCACTCCACACTTTGGGTTCCAGAGCAGAGATCCTGGGCACTCAGCCCCCAGCACTCAGCCCCAGCCCTGCTGGTCTCCTACACTTGCAGCCCATCCTGCACTTGGGGCTGATGATGGTCATGCTCAGTGTCACTGTGGCAGGTCCATGTAGGCTGACCTGGATAGGGGCAGATGGTGTAACAGCATGGGGAAGCAATTTTACACAGAGTGATTTTACACCCCAGCAGTTCCTAACAGCAGTTTCCTCAAATTTCAGTTGATAAAATTAGGAGTAGCCTGACCACTCAGTGCAGCAGGGAGGGTTTGCAGAAGAGAAGGAGCAAACTCCTTGGAGTGCAAACCCCAGCTGAGGTTTGGAGGTTGGAGGGTTTGCAGGGTTTGGAGGTTGCATACAGAGGGAGGTAGTGGTTGCATTAGTGGAAATCTCAGGGAATGTTTATAGCAGAGTCCCCTTCCCTGCATGCAAAAGAGTTTCATCATCATCATCTTCATCATGACCATGTGGGCTAGCAGTGGGATTCTGCCATTCCCTTGGGTCACCCCTTGTCCCCCAGCCCCAAGTCTGTCCTGTGTCCGTGCAGGGCAGGTGTAGGACAGCTCCATTATTGACATGTTTGAGACAGATGTTAAAACTGGAGATCTGTTAGCACTGGCCTTGGGGGTTTGCCCTTGGTTTCTGCTGTAGTCATGCGTGCTTCGATTTCAGATAAAAGAGCCAAACTCTTTCATTTCTGGTACTCCCAGCTGCGTTTGGATTTATCTGAACGGAACCAGGCATCCCTGAATTTGAGGGTGGCTGCCTTTACCAAAGAGCTGGTACTTACTACTTTTCTTCCCTTCCCTTCCCCCCTCCCTATTTTCTCTTTCTCTAGGTCCAGGCCTGGCCTTCATTGCCTACCCAAAAGCTGTGTCCATGATGCCACTGCCCACCTTTTGGGCAATCCTTTTTTTTATTATGCTTCTGTTGCTTGGACTGGATAGCCAGGTTAGTACAATGGATAAGGGATGTGTGCCTTACTGTGTCAGCACTGCTCACTGAGAAAAGCTGGTTTTACAGGCGTGAATTAACAAGAGAAAATCTCTAATGCTACTTGAGAAGAATTCATCTGGGTTGCTTTTTAGTGTAGGGGCTGCCCTTGATGAATCTAGAACTGTTGATTCATTATATTGTGTCGCTCAGTAAATCTTTGTCATCTAGGGTTAGTAGGGTCTATCCCACTAAGGCAGTACTCCCTAATCTAAATTTCACTATTTCACTCCTGTCCGGCCACAAAATTCCACCATTTTGCTCATAGTATTTTCTTACTTTGGAGAAAAAGCTGAATCATTTTAAAACATAAAGGACCGTAGTAGTCTGCTCCACGGAGTCCTTTGTGCCATTGCGAACACCTGCAGGGTGTATACACCATCATTAAAAAACTAGCAATTAATAACCACTAGGAGTATGGGTTTTGATGGTTGCCAAGTGTCAAAAAAGAAAAGCAAAGTCAGCATGAGGTGCAAAAAAGCACATAGTGTTTTGTACAGTATATCCAGGGTGGCTTCAAGAACAGTGAGAGGACAAAGCTGCAGCCTTTTTTGGTGGCCTTAGGCTTGGAGGTGCTGAGCAATGTGGGATCCTGCTGACTTTCACGTCAACAGCATGTATTCAGTATCTCCAGACAGGCCAGAAAGCATCTCAGATTCCGGCTGCACTACTTTTATAGCACATGCTGCTATTAATTAGTGAGCATGAAAAAAATCAGAAAGTTCAGTCAGGAAGTTAGGTTATTTTTCCCAGTGGTTACTTGTAGGAATGTTGGACTAAATACTGCCAAGGAACCTGTAAATCATTTCTAGGTAGTCTACTTACAAGGAAACATGAGTGACCAGGGATTATGAAATAATATTCAAAATTGCCAAAATTTTCTGCATTCAAATGTAAAGTCACTAAGATTAAATATATATATATATGGATGAAATATTTCTTTAGCCTAAATGCTCTCTCATATGAGGAGAGCTCTGTAAATGGAATTTTTACCCAGTTGTTGTGTACTTAATCTCTGACATTTTTTCTCATTTCATTTGCTCTAAATTGCTCTTTATGGCTTAATCTTTGAACTCTACTGAGCAACTCTCAATTGCTCCTAAGTAAATGTGAAAGTAGCCAATGCTGTGGTTCAGCAACCCTATGCTTATGCAAATTGGAAGCTGTCTAGTAATTTTAAAAAGCTCCTCACTGCACAGAATGATTAAAACTAATTGGAGCGCTTAATTTCTCTCCTCAACCCCTCTGGTTTTTTGGAGTGCAGTCAAGCAGGTTTCTGGAATGCCAAAGAGTTTCAGATCAAATCAGCTCAAAGGAAAGGGCTGCATTTAAAAATAAAACCAGTTTTACACAAGTCAAAGTACCAAGACAGAAGGCAATAAAATTTGGAGGACAAAATCTGTTTGCAGAACAGTCTGTATTTCCTAAATAGAACTTCAGGAAATAGGGCAGGGTTGTTACAGGGCATTTCTGGGTGCTGTAAGAGCAATGAGGTGCTAGGTAGGAAAATGCACCTAGGTAGGAAAATGCAGCTTTTTCTGAAATAACTTCTTTTTAGGTTCCTCATGATAAGTTGTTAGTTAAGATGATGTATCTACTTAAAGTGAAGATCTTTTCTACAGAGGCAGCTTTGATGGATACCTCCAGTCCATATCCTCATGTCTTCAGTGAGCTTGGTGCTTTTGTACCTTGCCAGGTTGAAAGTACAGATCAGTCAAAAGATCCCTTCCATGGTTTTAATTGGAGAAGTTCAGTAGTTGCTTTCCTCCAGGTGCAGAAAGATCTAGTTTTTAATTAACTTTCAACTTTTATTCAAATCCAGTTGGGGTTATTTGTTTAACTCAAGTTACACAGTTGTATAGTTTTCCAAAGACAAGTAAGTATAAATACAGTTATCATGAAGTGATATAAAGACTTTTAGCTCATTTATTCAGAGCTTCATTTTTGGTTTACAAGTGCAAATAGTTTGCCAGATCACTGAATGTGGACTGTATGAACAGCTCCATTATTGCTGCAGAAGAACCCAGAGCCTCAGTCAGATACTGCTCTCACAGCTCCGCAAAGGACACGTTCAGTCAAGAAGAGGTGTTGTTTCACATCACAGTGTGCTTTGCCTTGGCTGGATTTTCGCTAACAAACCCAAGAGCAGAGTTATATCAAATTGTGGAATTAACCTAACTGGTATCTGTGATGTTTTCCTGGTACATCAGCAAAAGCCTGGGAGGTACTCTCCTAGCTTGGACTTTTTTGAGTGTTTTCCTTCTGCCTCTTCTCTAGCATACATCCTGTGTTCATCTGGAACAGTGACAGCATAAAAGCCACATAAGTGCCTTCCTGTCATCAGGCACATAAATGCCTCCTTCATCCTTGTGGCTTGCATTTGCAGAGCCTCTTTTTAGCTCATAAGGCTTCTAGGTAATGAAAAGAAATTCTGAAAACTTGTTCCAACCTGAAAGCTACCCCCAGGCTCCAACCTCAGGGTTACAAAGGAACGGTTTCTATTCCTTTACCAAAACTGGGCAGAGCACAGGGCTGGGGTGGTGCTGGGGAGGGTTTGTTCAAGCAGGAGCCTGGATGAACTGCATGGTAACCTTCAAGTCATTCTCCACTGTTGTTTTCCCCCTGCAGTTTGTTGAAGTTGAAGGACAGATCACGTCATTAGTTGATCTGCACCCATCCTTCCTAAGGAAGGGTTACCGACGGGAAATCTTCATCGCTATAGTGTGTTTCCTTAGCTATCTTCTGGGACTAACTATGGTGACTGAGGTAAGTAGCACCAGTGCTGCAAATTGCCTTCTTCTTCAACCATTTTCAGGCCAGTTTTAGCCATGACTGAGACTGCAAAGTATTAGTGACTCAGAGGAGAAGTGCTTTTTAGATGGACAGAGCATCTTTCATCCCTAGATCTGAAAGCGTTTTGAATGGGAGTTACATGTCCCTTCCCTTTTCAGTCACAGGAACAGAAACATGAAACCTCATTAAATTCAATCTGATCTCAGATACCAGTCAGCATGACTATGAGTATTAACATCTAGTTCTAAATGATGAAACATAGAGGAGACCTTCAGCAGAGCACTTTAAGAACCCATCCAGTGGCATGCAGGGAAAGAGATTTTTATCTTACACAGATTTGAATTAATTAAATTCCACTTGGTTTATTCTAGTGTAAACAAGACAGGGATATGTTCCAGTGCCTGCACTGTTGTGATATTTATCTTCAAAATAAAATCCAAGTCAGATTTTAAAAACAAGTGGAGGAGCATGACTGTGGGAGGTAAAATAGCACCTGTAACAAAGATGCCCAAGCCCCACAGTTTTTCAAGGAAAAGTGCAGTGTAGTAAGAGTAGAGTATAACAGCAGAGTATAAACAGAGTTATAAAACAAAAAATGAACTATTTTCATGAAAGTAGCCCTTTCACTCAATCAATAAATAAAGACTCTCCTGATGAACTGACTTCTTTTTTAGTCTTTTTAAGGTGTTAATGTTAGGAGGCAAGCATTTATTTCTTTAAATGTCCATCCTGAAATACTTGTAAGAAGGAAAGATTTAAGTGTCTCAGTAGATTGTTTTAAGTGGCTTAATTTTGTTTAATCATTGTCTTGTTTGGAGTTATTCCTGTAGTAAACATGCATATTCCCTGGGGAAGGTAATGCCAAATATTTACCTTACCTGTTTGCTAGATGCTGCTTCTTGTTGGACAGGAGTCATTGGGATATATTGGTAGATGTTACTGGGGGCTGGGCCTGAATTCTTGGGGTTTTTTCCTGTTGGATCTTAACCATTTGTGTCTCTCTTTCACAGGGTGGCATGTATGTTTTTCAACTCTTTGACTACTATGCAGCTAGTGGTGTATGCCTTTTGTGGGTTGCATTCTTTGAATGTATTGCTGTAGCCTGGGTTTATGGTAAGTGAGAATCCTTTAATCTCATAACTTTTGATGAGTCACTGACAATTTTTCTAGCTAAATATTTAATCATCAGCCACCCCAGAGTCTTCTTCCTAGCAACAGACACATGCCATTAATATAAAGTTGCCCTGACCTCTTGGAGACAAATTTGCATCTGGGATGAATCCAATCTTCAGTGTTTTTTCCACAAAAAAAATGAGTATTCTTCCATTGCTAATTAATAAGGGCACAATTAAGCATTTTCGTGTGTTACGTTTAGAGGTGAGAGTTGAAAGTGTGGCCAGCCATGAAAATTTCTGTTTGTCTCTCAGAGAATTTCCTTTCAGAGCTGTAGTGTCTGCAGGGACAAGCCAACCAAACAGAAAGTACAAAAAGAAAGCTGAAAGTATATTCTGCCCCATTACTTTTGGCAATGCCAAGCACCGCGGTCTGACAGTGGCCTCTCTAGCTGAGCTGTGGCTGGGCAATAATCAGATGTGTGCTGATTAGGACTGGTTATTTCTCTGATTCTCCATGAATTCCATTGCCTCAGAAAAGCAAAACAAACAAAGTCAGATTTCTGTAGAAGCAGGTGCACTGTTTGGTGTCAATGGTGATTCCTCTGGGAAGTGCAGAGAGTCTGGAGAGAGGAGAGGGGGAGTGACAGGGGCAGGAGAGATCAGCCTCACACTCCTGCAGCCAAATAATGAGGGCAGGGTGGGATGGGAGGCCCCCCAACCTTTGAGCTTTTCAAGAAAATCATCTTGGACTTCACAGCTGTGGGAAGTATTTGAAGAATACATCTGACATCCTCACCTTCCCTTTAAATTACCCCTTGGGGAGCCTGGGAGAGCAGCTTTGATCCTACAGTGTTTACAGAGCTTTCATTTGCTCGGTTCTTCCAGGCGCTGATAATATTTATGATGCCATTGAGGATATGATTGGATACAGACCTGGTCCCTGGATGAAGTGGAGCTGGATTGTGATCACACCAGTTCTCTGCGTGGTGAGTACTGACCTGTGCTCTTTCAAGTCTTGCACTTGGCAGTGCTAAGCCCCCTCTTGCTGCTTCTCTTCAAGGGAGGGCTGTTGCATTCAGAGGCCAATTTGCAAAGAAAAGCTGAAGGCTTGAACATACCTCTCAAAGACATCATGTTCTCAGATGTCAGCTTCTGACATGACAGCTCTCTAGTCTCTACTGTGCCTGCATGAATTGCAGTTGGCTACGTTTAAGTGGATTTTTCTTAGAATTGGCAAAATTCTACATTCATCAAGAGAAAACTCACTCTCCAAAGAGCAGTCTCTACTTTAAGACATAGGACTGCTAGGCCATTGCAATAAAAAGACTTTAGCAGTCTGAGGCAGAGCTTGGCTTGAAGTGTTTCATTGGGTGGGAACAACATCCTGCTAATATCTTGCAGTGTACAGCAAATAGTTTAGCCCTGAAGAATTGGCAGTGTACTGCAGCTGTTCAGCACCATCTCACAGCACTCTGTCATCACACAGCAGATGCTATAAGCAGATGCAGATGTTCTTCCAATGATTGAAATGGAAGAACAATTCCCCCATTGGTTTAAAGTACATATGGTATCCATCAGCTCTGCCTTTCACTGCCTGTCTGCCTCAGGGCCAGTGATTGCAGAAGAGCCCTGCTGCTTTAAGCATTTATTGAGCCTCACTTTGTTTTCCTTTCTCATCCACAGGGGTGCTTTATCTTTTCTTTGGCCAAGTATAAACCACTGACCTACAACAAGGTCTACACATACCCAGACTGGGCAATTGGCCTGGGCTGGGTTCTTGCCCTTTCCTCCATGATCTGCATCCCTATGGTGATGGTCATCCGCATCATTCGGTCAGATGGGTCACTCATTGAGGTAAGAACAACCAATTGTCTGTCTAGAGGAGAAAGGGAGCTTTAACTTGTTGTGTTTTATACAAAGTAATGCTTGGAAAACTGCCACCTTGCCCAGGTAAGGCAAATAAGGCCGTTAAAGATCACCTGTCCTCTGGGCAAACAGTAGAAAGAGAACAAACACAAAGCCTTCTGTCCCCAGATAAACACCAAGTGATTTTACTCATGTCCCACTTGTGCAGCTTCCAGCTTGGCAAATCATTACCTCCACGTGCAGACAAACATTCAAGGACTGGGGTGTATCTGAGTCTCAGGTTTCTCTTCTCCAGTCCCCAGGGACACAGAAGCACCATCCTGAAAATTGCTGGGAAAGCAAGATAAGGAGAGAGAGACCTGGGTCAAACCTGGTTGTGTGAAAACTCATTGAAATTCAAGGAAATTCAGATACACCTGTGGATTGTGTGGCTCTCAGGCATGGTCTTCACTGTGGGGGACTAAATAAAAGTCAAACTCTCTTGACAGAGGGCTTCACTTTTTAGCTTTTAAAATTTGTGTTTATTTTATTTCAAACTGAAAAACTAGATCCAGATTGCCCTGGTATTTGGAAAGCTTTGTGTCTGACTGAGACTTGACAGTGCAGATTCCCTCAAGGTTTGGATTTGCAGGAAATCTCTTGCCCTTTGCAGTTCGGTCTGGGCTCCTGTAATTTTTTTTTTCTTGCAGTGTAAAGTTTTTAGAGGCTGTGCAAGCATGAAACTTTGCAGTTCTCTTCAAAGTTTTCAGATTAGTTTTCTTCTTGTCTAACAAGTTGTTCTTGTATGCAGCTCAGGGTATTCTTGGAGAAGAAAGTGAAACACTTTGGGTTAGGAAAAAAGAGAATAGAATTAAAAAAATACCAAACCCAAATATCCCAGAGCACAAACATTTGCATTTGTTTTCGTCCAAGTGTTAATGGCCTTTTTCAGCTATGGCCAAGGGCATAAGTGTTAATTTTCCTGCCTTCATTGTCACCATTGTCACCATGAGAGACAAGTCTAAAAGTAGCCAAAACACTGCTCAAAGACCATGTTAGGAAAGGAAAGAGAGTAAACACTGGTCAGATGCCATTCAGTTCTTCCTTTGTGAACTGGATGTAGGACAGAAGTTGCCACTTGGCAGTGAGGGCTGGGCTGAGAGGCAGAGCTGTTTCTAAATGAGGGAGGAGGACACACACCATTTGCAGCACTGAAAGCCCAATGTGCAGGAGCTGGGTAAGGCTCCTATCTGACTTCCCTGCCTCGAGTCAGGCTCTGCAGCTGAGCTGAAGGCTCCACAGATCCCCACATCCCTACAGAGCCACACATCTCCCACAGCCACCATCCCTGTCTATGGAATGTCCTGCATGTGGAGACAGAGAGGCCTTCTGCTCATCTCCCCTCTGCTCTCCTCAGAGGGTTTCTGCTCTGAGAAGGGGCCTGCTTTCCTCAGAGACTTCCTGCTCATCTCCCCTCTGCTCTGCTCAGAGGGTTTCTGCTCATCTCTCCTCTGCTTTCCTCAGAGGCCTCCTGTTCATCTCCTTTCAGCCTTCCTTAGAGGTTTTGTGCTCCTCTCACCTCTGCTTTCCTCACAGGTTTTGTGCTCCTCTCACCTCTGCTCTCCACAGAGGTTTTGTGCTCATCTCCCCTCTGCTTTCCTCAGAGGCCTTTTACTCATCTCCCTCCTGCTTTCCTCAGAGGTTTTGTGCTCATCTCCCTCCTGCTTTCCTCAGAGGTTTTGTGCTCATCTCCCCTCTGCTTTCCTTAGAGGCCTCCTTCTCCTCTCACATGTGCTTTCCACAGAGGTTTTGTGCTCCTCTCACCCGTGCTCTCCTTCTCTCCTGCAGAGGATAAAGGCGGTGGCTGCCCCCAAGGAGGTGAATCGATGGTCCAAGGAGACAGAGAGTGGCACCCCCTTCTGCCCCAATGGAACTTCGAATGGCGGATTGATCAAGCCAACTCATATCATTGTGGAAACCATGATGTGAGCTCTCTCTGTGAGAGGATAAACCTGCTTTAACTGCCGTTTACTAACCATAGATTCTCATAGGACCAGGTTTACAGAGCTTTATATTTGCACTAGGATTTATTTTTATTTCTCACAGAGAAAGTTATTTTTTGTGTGTGTTTTTTTTTTTAATATTTTGTAAGGTAATCACAGCACACGTCTCTCTGTAGAGGGAGAGCTTTCATATCAGACTAGACATATTACAAGAATTTACTATTATTGGGTTTTTTTAAATATATATATCTTTATCTCTAAATATTATACACCTTACCACTTGAATTGATTGTCTTGCCAGCAATACATTCAAGTCTCAGAAAGCAATTTTAGGTGCTGGTATGGTTGGGAGCAGGGTAATCTACAGAACACACAAAAGGAGCTCTGTTGAGAGTTACATTTTTTTAAACAATGCTGTTTCAAGAGAATTTTCAAAGGTGTAGTATTTCCACCCTCTGGTTCAACTGTGGTAAACTACAGGTGTCAGGGTCACTTCAGGAAGTGGGGAGAGTTTTGTTTAGTGCAGTCCCTGGATAAGAATATAGCCAAACAGCTGGAGTGGAGAGTTTGCAAGGGATGCAGAGAAGCTGGATGTGAACAGTATTGTGGCTGTACCTCCCAGGGACCGCACTGGCACCCTGTCACACCAACTGAAGAGAACTTGGGGAAGGCATTTGCAGGATTTGGCATGGTTCAGTCTTTTGTTGTTGTTGTTTTTAAAATTTTTGAGATTCTTTTTTAACATAAGTGAAATGCCTGCTGTTTGTGTGTGAGCAGGGAGGTTGGGTACCTGCTCCTGAGTTTTCCAGCAAACCATATTTTGGTGTGGTGGCACTATTTGAATTCTGCAAACTGGGAGGGCAGCCTGTCCCCAGGGCAGCAGGGATGAGCACAGAGCAGCCAAGGGGGGAAAGCAGCCCCTGCTCTTAAGGTGTTTGCTTGCCCATTTGGACTTTGGTTTGGGCAGGAAAATAAAGGAATCACTTCTGGACTCTGACCATCTAGAGGTGAACACAAACCAGGTCATCCCTGACAGGTGGAACTAAACCACTCACCTGGTGTAACTGGTATTGATAACAGACATGTTAATAATAATAGTAATGATGATAATAATATCACACAGCAAACAGGTGCTTTTCATCCATGTATCTCAAAAATGCTTTTCCAAGTTCAGTAACCAGGATTTGCTTTATTTATTTATTTGGGGGAGGGAGGTATTTGCTGTTAGAGGAACAGACAAAAGGACTAAGTGAGTCCCTTGTCCCATGTTACTAAATAGGAGTAGTGGACCTGGAGGCCCCATTCTCCTTGCTCATCATTGGATTAACCCATGATTTTATTTTATTTTACTTTATTTTATTCTATTTTATTTTATTTTTAAGGGGGATGGAGGGTGGCAAACATATTTATGATTTTTATCTGCTGAAGAGACAGGGCTCTTTGAAATTTAAATTAAAGCAAAGGGAACACATAACACTGAAATATTTTGTGTTGGTCAGAAGGAATTGGGCACCATTCCAGGTGAGACTGGGAAGTGAAGAGAAACCCCTACAAGGAGTATAGGAGTGGGGGTTCCACTTCATGTAATGCAGGTGAATTTTTATTTGGGGAACTGGATCCCTGAAAACTGTCCAAAACATGGACAAAAGCCTTTTTATTATTTTTGAGGTTTTTTTCTTTTTTTTTTTTTTTTAACTTGAGCAGGTTGTGCTGGGAACGGATTCTCTGGCAAAACTCAGCCTTGTCACGTGGGCATTGTATTAGAGGGAGAGAGGTTTTTTCTTTGATAGCACAGGTAGTCTTTCCAGAGGTATTTAGAAGAAATACTTGATAAAAGCAGAGTTTCTATCTGCTTATTCTGTTGTAAGCTTAGTCTGTCAAGGCAGAGGTTGTCACTTATTTAAACAGGAACATAAACAGTTCTTAACATTCCTACACAGTAGCTTTATTTCATTTTTTATTGTCCCATGTGCTAACTGGCCACAGCAGCACAAACATTTCTTAACTTGTTGGTTTCCCTGTAGCAGAAACAGGGAGATTTAAAACTAAGAGATGGACCAAAATAATTATTAATTTTTAAAGAAAAACATCGCTGCATTCAAACTTCCAAATCTTTCTAGTTTGAATTTGTAGATACTTTAACAACAGAGAGCTGAGTTGCAGCAACAAAACCAGCCATGGTAGAATTGTGTTTTCTTTTTTCTCATGGCTGTATTATGAGAGTTCTGAAGGAAACTTTTGCACAGCTGGAGATGACAAACATCTAAATGACACCTGCTGGGCTGGTAGCAGAAACCACCCAAGGTTACAGGAGGAATTCTGAGTGCCAGTGAGTGTCATCAAAATACAGAAATATGCATGCAGCAATTTTATTTTTTAACAATCAAAGGCAAGGAAATGTAACCAAAACCACTCTCTTAGTGGGCTTTAGCTTGGACTCTCATTTTTGAGTTACAATCAGTGTCTGCAGTAAACAGACATGGGTGAAGAGGAAGTAGAAGGTTAGGGGGGGTCTAAATTAATGTTTTTTGTGAGTACAGATGAAACACTGATGCTTGATTTATTTCTTTTTTTATATGTATACATTGCCATACAACTGTGTTTGAGGTTATATAGTTTGCACATGACTGTTGTGCTATAGAGCTGAGACAAGCATTAGTTAGGGAAAAAAATGGTTTGGCTACGTCAACGATGTCTCCAGCAAGTCAGCTGGGTGTTCAGGCATCTCCCATGTTGTGGAGAGTGCCTCAGTGGGAAGAACCAGAGGAATAATACTACACCTTTCAAAATACAACTAGCAGAGAACAGAACCCAGCCCCATTTCAGTACAAACTGTGCCATTCAAATCAGTCGCTTCCATGTTCCAAGGGAAAGGTCTCGCACATATGCAACAACCTCACTGAAGATTCTCTGTGTCAGCTTCCCTGGCCCTGCTGTGCTCCTCAGCACGACTGCAAGGGAGGGCTGGGACTCACCAAGAGACAAAAAATCATTGCTTCTGGAAAACAGTTCCCCTCTCCCCTTCTCCCTTCCCCAACAACAAAAAAAAAATGTACTTAATTCTTGTTTTATCTGGGGTTTGAGTTCCAGTGAGCACATTTGCATTTTTACAGTTTGGGGTTTTTACCTAACAATTTTATCAGATTTCTAAACTTTTCTTGGTGATTAATTTGCATTTCAACATGATCCTCTGCCAAATTTATTAAAACATAATTTTTAAAAAAATGTTTGTGTTTTCTACCTATTTTGACTGCAAAGACAACTGATTTTTTTCCAATATTTACTTGTTACTCTTATGACGTATTTTACCTGTTTTGTGTAAATGAGGAACTCTGTGTTACAGCATCATGACTAGTTATAGATGAACTGGTTTGGATCTGGGAAAACAGTGCAGTTTTGGCATGAGATCTTTAGAACCAGATCCCTGAGATTTAAGCCCACATAAACCAAGACAACACGCACACCTTTTCATGTTTCATGTACCTTTGTATTCATGGGGTCTTCTGGGCTTGAAAACAGCAGAGTTTCAGCAGTATTTGTTTCCAGCTGAACTGAAATCAAGAGATAGTAGAAATGTAAAGGGGAACATTTCCTCATGACATTTTTCTGATCTATTTCTTATTTTTCTCAATTTTCCAAACCTTTTCAGTTCACCTGTCACTAGTGATGATCTCTCTGAGTATCTATTCTAAGGGACTTTACCAGTAGTCTGTATCTCAGTGTTTAAACAGTATGATTTCATAAATAGAACTGGTTTTTTATTGTTGTTGTTGTTATTATTCTATTTTTCCTTCTCATCTATAGCTTTCCTTTTCATCTGGTCCAAACAGATCCACACACTTAGAAAAGTCCTCTTTCAAGTTTGAGATAGTAGGTCCACAATGGATTTGTTCTTGTGTTGTAAATGAAAATACAGAAGCCTGGCAGCTGTATTTGCCATCTAGAGCAGCGCTGGTGGCCACCCCGCAGCGGCAACAGTGGGGTGGAGGGAGTTAGGTGTGATCTGCTGAAACAGCTCAGCAAAATTGATTTTCACTGCTGTTCTTGAGGAGAGGAGAAAATGAGAAAAAGAAGGGGGGAAAAATACAGCTGCTGCTATATTTAAAAATATGCTGTAACACCAAGAGAAGCCAAACAACATCAGCAGAGCTGTTATTGCCGCCGCCAGGACAGCACCTCCTGCAGCTCTTTCCTGTGCTCATCCTCCTTCCCCAGCTGCAGATCCTCCTGGTTCCTCTTCTTTGTCTCAGCGTTAGATAACTCACGTAGATCTGAAGACACATGGACATCTCCATTCAATAGATCTTTTCCAAGTCTCCTCCTGGTCTGTTTTTATTTGCTTAAGGAGACTTTCTGTTTTGTTGAGGTTGTGCTTTCACTTTTGGGTTCAAAGCTCCCACTTGTTGCATCACTGGCAAACTTCCAGCTGTGGGAGAAGGATTTGAACACTTTTGAATAACTGATTATTAGCTTCCATGTCTTGTGGTCCCTGCAGGATCACTCGTGGAGGCATAATGTATATAAGATGTTAAATAAGCTGTGCATTGAATGCAGTGGACAAGTTAGTTAAGCAGCTCAAGTACACTTGGAAGAAAGATGACCCTGACATCATTTCCAAGGAGATTCAATGGAAGTTGCTCACTTTCAGTAAAAAGAATAAAAGTAAATCTGTGTTTAAGTAGACTAGTAGATGAAATCTTCCACCCTCATATGCACGCACACAGTGGGGACATTGCTTCTATTCCTAGGCTGCAAATCATGTGTGTAAGTCTTGCCAAGCTGTTCAGGATGAGGATTGAGGAGGTTTAGACACCACTTGCCTGCAAAGAGCCAACCTGCCAGAGTGTCCAAATGGTCTTTCCTAAATGGGGGTGGTGGAAGAGGGAAAGTCATAACAAAATCCTGGACCACAGCCCTCCAAAGAAGCCTTAAGGTTTGATTTGTAAGCTCTCCTTGTAGGCACCACATGGCTCCTGGCATGGGAGGTTGGGTGTGGTGTGGGTTCAGGCAGCTGCCCTGGACTTGTTTTCTCCAAAATCAGCATCCAAAGCCTTGTGGTTAGGATTGACGTGTAGTTGTGTATTTGTATATTTGCATGAGCAAAGGTCAGGAACTGTCAGACCCTGGTAGCTTGTTTTATTTCTTATAATCAAAAATAAGCTTAAGAAACAAAGTATTTAGTTGATTTGGTGACACTTGACATTTAAGAAACCCTTGGACTTGTGCAAAAGAGGTGCCCTGAGCTCCATATTTTAGTCACAAAAAAATTCTTATGGTGTTAGCAGCCAATTTGAGTCTATGGGAAAGATTGCTCAAGAGAGACTTGAATATAACCAGCACCAGCATCCACTGGAAAACTGCCTGAATATAACCAGCCCCACACCCTCCACTAGATTGTGGCTCTTTTCTGCCAGCCCAAAAGAAATGTGTACATGGACAGTGCTTCTCCGGGGAAAAAAAAAATCTCAATTTGTTCATTTCTATTAAAAATAAACAAAAAAAGTCACATTCTTTGTGTGGTTTTTTTTCCAGTTGTCACTGGGAATTGGTGATTTCAATTTACCCATGTCCTAAAAAAAGAGCAGAAATAGCTTGAGACACCATTTCACCAGAAAACAGGGACAAGCTCAAAATTTTGCAGGCTGAAAACTTTAAGAAAACAAATCACCCACCCATGCCCATCAAAGATGGAAAACCTTGGTGACAGGGTTTGTGCCTGGAAAAGAGCCTGACCCTGCTGGTAATGTTGGGCAATTGAATGGCAGACACAGCCTTTTTGTATTGCTGCTGTGTCCTCATTTGAAATAATCAGTAGAAGTGTCAGAATTTAATTACCACGAGTTCAGGAGTAAAGTAAATTGAAGATAATTTTAAAGAGGCAAGTTTGGGAGGCTTGTTCTCTGTGGCTCTGCAGTGCACAGCAGAATGGTGCTGCTCACTTTTACATTTGCAGCACAGGGAAAAGGTGGCCTGACTTGAGAAATCAGAAGAAATAATGGGAAAAATAAAGCGAATTAAAAAAAAAAAAGCAAAACTCAATGATGCTAAGGAGCTGTGCATGTGCTGTGTGTGTGTGCATTTGTGGGGGAAGGCTTCAGCCCTGTAGCACAGTGAGCACGATACACACTGTTCCTAAATGTACCTGCTTCTGCAGCTGAGATGTTAGAAAGAGTTGAAATTTTTTTCAATATATAAAGAAAAAAAAATTAAAAAAAAAAAAACAAAACAAACAGTGGCAAAATTATGTTGAGAGGCTGATAAAACAAACAAAACCTGAGGGGGCAAGTTGAGTCAGTTCATGACCTGCTCCTGTCCTGGAAGCCAGCACTGGTCTCTCAGCACCGCAGCATCCCAGTACTGTTCTGAAGTGCTCATTGTTCAGTAGGATGTTATTTTTCTCCAGTGTAATGTTGTGATTGTTACCTGATAATGTTGCCAGGGACTTCACATTGTAAGAGGTGATCCATCTTGTTTGATGTGTTTGGCTAAAAAACAGTGGTGTTTTTTTAATTATTTAAATTCCTAGCAACAGTAATGTGATAATGAGTAGCACATGCAGCGAGGAGGCGAGGGCGATGATAGCCTCCTTGAAAATG